TTTACAGAACGTTTTTTCAGCTCTAAAACTGTTCAGGGCACAGAGTAAATTTAAACCTCTCATGGGACTGAGGCTCACTAAAGCGATCCAGCACGGCCACACTGAAACCTGCTCTTTCAGCAGTAGTTAATTAGACAGGATGACACCACCGTGTGGTTAGTTCCATAATGGCCTCTCCGTTTCACCCCAAAGGTTACAGAACCAGTTATGGAATGGATATCAGTCAGATCATAAATGGGTACTTAGAGTTGATGTTGCATAACAGTAAATGACAAACTCTACTGGACAGAGTATAGTCACGTCCCACGCATATCGAAAGGGCAAAACAATTCATGACTCTTTAGCTGCTAGCAATAAACTCATAAATGTGTGGAGTGCTGCAGTAAAGAAGCGGTGCGGTGGTTAGTACCATACCCCACAACAGGAAGTTCCTGGGTTTGAATCCAGTCTAGAGTCTTTCTGTGTGGCGTCTGAGACTCAGTATGCCTATATTTATATCTCTAATGATTTCAGGCTACTAAAGGCATCTTAATAGTGTTTCAGTCCTTTGTAACATATTATAGCCCTCACTGTTTTCCCCTTGAGCTAATGTCATTTTCAAAATATGCTCCAGCTCTGCTTTGAGAAAATACTGTTAAACATCCACAAACTCAAATCCTGAAGCATAATTAATTGGCATATATAAAAGTTTTGGTTTTTCTAATGTGAATGTATGTCTTGATGCATGAAACCAGCCCACTAGGGATACATCTTTCACCATCTTACAATGCTGTGATTGCAGCCATTCTCCAACTCTGTGAATGGTACTCTCATGGTTTGATCAGTGGGCTTTGATCAGTGGTCATGAGAATTTGCACAATTACAATGAAGGAACTGACCTCCCAGCCTATTGTTCCCTCAGTGAGCTGGTTTCAGTCATTATGCAAATGTACTGTTTATAAGATTGGGGAAACCTGCAGTCAGCTGAGACTGAAGAAGTCACTTGGATGAGTGACGAAACTAAAAACGCTACGTCCAGATGAACAGAATCAACTTTTGGAGATAATGGGATTGTACTATTAGAAAACTCATTTAGGATACTTTATAGTTTTAATTATGGTGGCACATTTATTTTTAATAAAAATGAAAACAGGCGAACGTAAATTAGCACCTCACTACATCCTTGGAAGCTAAGAATGATAGTTTGTGTCAAAGAAAAAAAGAAACTGTAACGATAGCTTACTTGTCCTGTTCTGCCGAGCTCGAGCTCCACCAGGGCGACTGGGCCGCTGTGAGCTGTTCCCCGTCTGCTGGCTGCAGCCTGGAGATCCACTCTCCAGGAAAGGCCCCTGAGGCTGGGCTCCCAGCGGCTATGAGCCACCAAACTTTCCTTAACTCGAACTCGTTGGCTCTTCCAGAAACGAGAGAGTGCAGCGGCCTGTTCAGCGCTCAAGCCACCACCACCTTGTTTCTTGGTCTTAGCTGTGAGGAAGGCCTCCAGCTGGGCATGGTCCATGTCTGCTGTGGCGATGGACTGAGAGATGCAGAAAAGAGGACGATGAAATTCAACACAAACCTGGAGCTCTAAAGTCTGTAGTACAGCAGTGTCGTGTGGTGACTTTTATGAAAAGGCAAGCAGTTTACTTTAATACTTATATAATACTACTAATATTAATAAATACTTTGCTTCATTTTAAGACTTTTTAAGGACCAGTTTATTTTTATTATGACTTGATATAAAATTAGAACTTAAAGAGTGTGTACTTTCTTTTTACCTTTACTGTTTCCAAAACAAGAAGTATTTTCCCCATGACATTTAGTTGGAAGCCCCATGTAACCAAAGTAAGAATAAAGTAAGTTTGGGTGCATTTTAACTGGACAGTGTATTCGGTCTTTCTATACATTTAGACAGTCTGTACTTTTGACATTTGTATTTTCCCTGTTTGGCCAAATCTGCCCCGAAAAATACATTT